GGGGGGGGGGGACCTCTCAGCAATTTAGGAATATAAAGAAACTTAGTCAACCCAATAAAAAATATCTATAAAACCTCTATACTAACATATTTAATATTAAGACACTAAATGCTTTCCTCCAAGACTGTGTACAAGAATGTCTGCTCTCACCACTCCTATTCAACACTGCACGGGAGGGCCCTACACAGAGCAATTAGGGAAAGAAAGAAGGAGAGGGAGGGGAGGGGAGGGAAAGAAATGAAAAAGAAAAAAAGAAAAAGAAAGATCAAAGAGAAAAAATTAAGACCATCTCTATTCACAGACATTATAATGAAAAACAAAAATAATCTACAAAAAAACCTATAAGACTGCCTAAGTGGGTTTAGTAAGGTCATAGAAAAGTATCAATTATATGTTTATATACTAGCAATGAGCAGTTGGAAATTAAAACAAAAAGGCCTAATATGCAACAGTTATAAATTTAGCAAAATACGTGCAAGATTTGTAATAAGAAAACATTGACCTAAAATAATAGGAAGGTATATCTTGTACACAGGTTGACTCAATATTGTTAAGATGTCAGTTCTCTCCCAAACTGATCTACAGAGTCCATGCATTTCCAATCAAAACGACAGCACACATTTTTGTGGTTTCTCAAAGCTGACTTAAAATTTATATGGGAAAGCAAAGGGCCTAAGATAGTCAAATTTAAAAGCAAAAGAAAATAATTGGAAGATTCACATTACTTGATTTCAAGATTTATTATAAAGCAACAGTAATTAAGTTGTGTGGTTTTGATGAAAGTATATGCACATAGATCAATGGAATAAAATTGAGTACAGAAATAGCCCCACACATATATGAACAAATGATTTTTGACAATGGTGCCTAGATAAAGAAAGGATGGTATATTCAACAAATATAACTCATACCTTAGGAAAAATTAACTAAAGTAGATCATAGGCTAAAATGCAAACCTTAAATTGTAAAATTTCTACAAGAAAATATGGGAGCGCCCTAGCTGGTTTGCTCAGTGGTTAGAGCGTCGGTCCCTGGACTGAAGGGTCCAGGTTCGATTCTGGCCAAGGGCATGGACCTCCGTTACAGGCTCCATCCCGGGCCCCAGGTAAGGGCGCATGTGGGAGGCAACCAATTGATGTGTCTCTCACATCAATGTTTCTCTCTCTCTCTCCCTTCCACTGTCTCTGAAAAGCAATGGGAAAAATATCCTGAGGTGTGGGTGGGTTCGGTGGGACGAAAGAGAAAGAAGAAAGAAAAGAAAAGAAAAGAAAAGAAAAGAAAAGAAAAGAAAAGAAAAGAAAAGAAAAGAAAAGAAAAGAA